GTCGGATCTTCGGCCAGCACTTGCTTTTCCAGTCACGTTTTGAAAACAAAATTTTCTACAGTAAGCCATTCTTCGTGGCGAGACCCAATGCTGCGCCTTCAGCGTAGGATAAAGTTTAATTTTAAGCAAAAAAAAATATTTTTCCATATTTTCCCGTGAACTCTATACCCTTCTCACCCCCCAAAAAACAAACCAGAACTCCACGTCATCATACTAAAAAAATCGATATATAAAAACCGAAATTCCTCGCCAATCGATTATTATTTCACTTCAATTTGCGATTCAAAAGCAAGAACACACACCACACATTTTAGAAGTTCGCTTCGAGATACGAATCGAAAATCCGAGATGGCTGAGAAAAAAGAAAAGAAAGAAGAGAAGGATAGCGACGTTTTCGTGCTCAAAGTCAACACTGAGGGGGTAAGTGTGCTCTATTGTGAAATTTGCAATGGAGCGCATTTGCTTACAGGTTCTCTTCACTAACACGAGACTTGGCGACGAGTTGACGCCTGCCATTATCAAGTTGACGAATCCGACGAAGGAGAAGTACGCGTTCAAGATCAAGTGCACGTCGAATGAAATGTTCAAAATCAAGTTGCCAGTCGGGTTCATCAACAAGGACGAGACCATCGAGATTCCCGTTCGTTTTTGTGGGATAGAGCGCGGTTTGAAAACCTAGATTTGGAATTTTGTGCGGTGGGGCGCATTTACAGGTCCTTTAGAGCACATTTGAAACCCTATTTTTCATTCCTTTTGAGCGAAAACGCGCTCTATTGGAATTTTGTGCGGTGGGGCGCATTTGCATTTTTTTCGTCTTCAATCATCTTGACAACAAGTTCACGTTCTCTAGAGCCCATTCGAACGCTTACATTTCATTCCATTATTGAGAAAACGCGCTCTAATAAAATCAGTGCGATGGAGCGCATTTGCATATTCTTCTTGACCACTAGTGCACTGCCGCATGTTGCCGACTGCAACTCACTCACCCTTCCCCCCCCCCTCTCACTCTCCTCTATGCCCTTCTCACCTGTTGCCGCCGGCGGAGAGATGGCCGAGCGGTCCAAGGCGCTGGTTTAAGGCACCAGTCCCTTCGGGGGCGTGGGTTCGAATCCCACTCTCTTCAGTCCTATTTTTTCTTTTTTTCTTTTTGCAATACGTGTTTTCCAGGTTTATCATATGGCCAACAAAGCGATTCCCGAGAACAATAAGCAATATTTTGCCATTTATTACACCAAAGTGGATGACGATGATGTGAGTTTTGTAGTGGCCAGCATACCCAAAAAATTTTTTTGCAGAAACTTCAAGCGCGCAAAGTTTGGGATGTGAAAAAGTTTGAGGGTGTGAAACGTATCTACATTTCGTTCGCCAAACCGGGCGGCACAATCAGCAAAGATGTGGAGAAGAAGGACGAGAAGAAGAAGGATGATACGAAGTCCAAGACGGAAGAAGGGAAGAAGGATGGAACGAAGGAAGATGAGGATAAGAAGGATGATAAGAAGGATGACAAAAAGGATGATGATGAGAAAAAATGAATTGGAGAGAGAGAGAGAGAACTTGTGAAATGATGATTATGAATGTGGTTTTATTTATTTTTGTTGACGGCCCCGATATCTCATCACGAACACTACCGTATAAATTTTAATACTACCGTAGGAAATTTTGAAAAAAGGTTTATTTTTTTACGAGTTTCATCAATTTTCATCCATTTTCAACTAATAATAATTTTTTCTCCGAGAAAGATCTGGAAAAATCGCTGAAAAAAGCGATAGAAATTGATGAAATTCAATAAATCATACGGTAGCAATTGAATTTATACGGTACTCTTCGTGGTGAGATATCAGAGCCGCCAAGTTGTCGGATCTTCGGTCAGCACTTGCTTGCCAATAAAACTGCGCGCCGCCACCTGATTGTTACGGCCTTCTCCCTGGTTTTCCAATGTTGCCTCCATGGCCTAGTGGATAGTGTCTCTGTTTTTGAAAAATTTTGGTCGGGGGTTCGACCCCCACGGTGGCAAAGTTTTTTTTTCTTTTTTTGTAATTCACTTCTCAGCAGATCTGGGTGAAAACTATGGTAATTTTAGCATGTCCGGAGGTCCGGATTCCAATTTTTTGACCATTTTTTGAAAAATTTTTCATTTTTTTCAGAAAATTTCGAATTTTTTCACTGAAACTTCATCAAAATAGCAAAAAATGCTTCAAAAACACAAGCTACTGTTTTTATGCTCAACCAGCCTGCCCATGCGCCTCCGGCGCATTTGCAGTCTGGACAGTTCGCGGCTACGCCGCTCACAAAATTTCAATTTGATTCAGCGTGCTCACGTGAGCTTTCTTTTATCTATTTCTTTTTGCTCTATAAATTTTGTGCGGGTTTAGAGCAGTGGGGAAAACACGTGATTATCATTCAAAAGGTCCCAAGTTCAAGTTTTGCTCGTGAACTTTCTATTTCTTCCCATTCCGCGGACATCGCGACAGATCTTCGGACAAACGGACGGAATCCACGGGCGTTTTATATATAAGAATGATACCCTGGAGCACAAATTTTGGGAACATTTTTTCGATTTTTCAAAATTCGCGGTAATCTTCCGGGCCGGGCCGAGCCTTGAAAATTGGTTGGGAAGTTCGGCCCGGATCAGTGTGAATTTGAGCAATTTCCTCGGAAATTAGAAGATCCTTTCGGAAAAAAAATTCGGAAAAAAAATTTTTTTCCAAATTTTTTTTCGGAAAGTTTTCCGTGAAAAAATTCAGAATCTGTTTCAATTTTTTTTTTCAATTTCAAGCACACATTTTATTGAAAAAGCACGTTTCCCGATCCGACTTTCCTGTATTTTTTCCGGAAAATTTTCCATCAGATTCCAATTCCGAAAAAAAAACTGAAAAAAAAATATTTCCTTTTTCCGATTCCTTTCTATTCTGTAAATCACTTCTGAACAGATCTGTGTGAAAACTATGATAATTTGAGCAATAATTAGTAGATCCCTTACACATGTTCACACCCTCTTGACATGCTAACACCTCCTGCTCCTTGTTCAAACATTTGTATATCCTCTCTTCTCTCTTGAGAAGTCATCATCATCTTCTTCTCATGCTTCTCGCCTGTAATCCAATGCCCTCCTTCCCTTTTAAGTGCTCTATTTAACACAGGTGAAGCAGTCAAGAAGGACACGCCACACTTCTCACTTTTCTCCGTGCTCCGTTTGCTCAAAACTACCGTATCCTCTCAAGAAATTGGTGAGGCAAATTGATGATTTATTCAGTTTCCTTCCCAAAAGTGTTTTGAGCAAATAATATGTGACACACGAATAATAACAGAAAGATATTGTGTTTCTTTTGGAAAAAGAGAGATGAGAACCGTTTAAAGGCACAAGACCCCCGAAATTTTTCGAACTTGCTCCCTTCCCCCAAAATTTTCGGAAAACATAGAGATTAGCCCTCTAAATTCGTCTTCCCCTGACTCTGAATAAAAACGGTTCTCACGAGAATTTGGGCGAGGATTTGGCAGCAGCCCCTTATAGGATTAGGCGGTCCCTTCTTCCCAAGGCACTCCGGATTAGTCGATTATTAATTGGGAGTTGAAGGAAATGAAGAAAAAAAAAGAAAAAAGAGAACTGAAGAGAGTGGGATTCGAACCCACGCCCCCGAAGGGACTGGTGCCTTAAACCAGCGCCTTGGACCGCTCGGCCATCTCTCCGCCGGCGGCAACAGATGAGAAGGGCATAGAGGAGAGTGAGGGGGGGGGAGGTGTGAGTGTGCAGTCGGCAGCAGGTGGCAGTTGTCAAGAAGAATATGCAAATGCGCTCCAACGCACTGATTTCGATAGAGCGCGTTTTCCCTTCAATCGAATGGATTGTAGGCGTTCAGCTGCGGTCTAGAGAACGTGAAATGGTTGTCAAGATCAGGGTTGTGCGAAAAATTTTTTCGGGCGTTTTCGAAGAAAAAATTTCGGAATCTGAAATTTTAATCGTGAAATTGATAATTCACTGGCGATCTACGAGAAACAATTTTGAAAATTTGGAATTTTTTGGCCGATTTTTGAAGTTTTTCGTTGCTTTTTGTTGAATGGTCGAGACTGGAATAGAAAAAGTTTCATTTACGTTCCAAAATTTTTTTTTTCGTTTTTTTTTTCGATTTTTTTCGGTTTTTTCGGACAAAAAATTCCGCAAAAAATAAATTTTTTCGGACGAATTTTCCCGAAAAATTGATTGCGTCTTTAAAACGTGACAGTAAGCCACACTCAAGCCGAAGGAGCACGCACCATGTTTTCAGAGCACTTTTCAGTAATAACTTTCGATTAAATTCTGTCAATATTGTATTCAACATGATGCGAAAAAAAAATTTCTATTCAATTTGATTCAAAAAAAGCTTAGGCCCTGATTTTTAATTTTTCAACAAAATGAGAAAAATGCCTATGTATCGCTGAGTCGCCACGCAGTTAGCATGCGACCCTACAGTAAGACAGAGTCCGCGAATGAAACTTTTTGAAAAAAAAACGTACGAAAAAATTCACTGTGATGTAGGCGTGCAAATGCGCTCCATTGCACTTCCTCATCCGATTAATTCGAAAGTTTCCACCTGATCAAACCAAATGAATTTAGTTTAAACCTAAACTATGTGGTAGGTCTCCGATTCCAATTCCAAAAACAGTAATACCTTCTCAAGGATATATTCGATTGTATTTCCTTCCCCTCCCCTTGCTGATAAAATGATAATTCGATCATCTAATTCGACAACGACGACGCGACGACTACAGTAATCCCTTGGGGAACCGGTCGGGCGGTGCGAAGTTGTCGGGGGATTATCATAAGAGATACAGTAACCCGATGGGAAAAAGAATGTGATAACATGATTAGAAGAGGATTAGGATTCAAATAAAGACGTTTATTGTTGGGGAAAGAATTGGTTGATTGGAAGAGAATCGAGGACTAGAAAAATTGGAAGATTTGGGGGAGGAAATGGGAGGAAAATTCAAGGTCGGAAAGAGGTGGAAGAGGTGGCCTAGAAAACTCTAAAATTGGAAAGCTAGGCCATGCTTCTAGTTCATGGGTCGGTGGCCTAGAAATCCAAAAGTTAGGCCAAAAGTTAGGTGGCCTAGAAATCCAAAAATTGATGGCCTAGGAATCCAAGAATAGATGGCCTAGAAATCTCAAAATGAATGGCCTAAGAATCCAAAAATTGATGGCCTAGAAATCCAAAAATAGATGGCGTAGAAATCCAAAAATTGATAGCCTAGAAATCCAAAAGTTAGGCCACCATTCAAATAGTGAAAAACTAGTCCCCAGCTCTTGGCCTAGAAATTCCTCATCTGGAAAGTTAGGTCACCAAAAACTCTAGGTCATATCCGCTGCTTTCTCTAGTTCCAAGGTTGGTGGCCTAGAAATCCAAAAACCGAAAAGTTAGGCCATGCAAACTAGTCTCTAGCACTTTTGGCCTAGAAAACTCTAAAATCGAAAATCTAGGCCATCTCTAGTTCACAGATTGGTGGCCTAGAAATCCAAAAGTTAGGCCATCAGTCAGATTACTGATCTTGGCCTAGAAATCCCAAAACTAGAAACCCAGGCCATCTAAAACTCTTCCACCTCTTCCCTCCTTTTACAAAAAAAAATTTACACTGGAAAGAATCACATTTACAATATTAAAAAAAACTACAAATTTTCGGATTTCACTTCTTGATTTTCTGAAATCGACGTCTTCAACGATGCCTTGGATTCCGGGGATGATGTCTCTTTCGGAGTGGAGTTTTCCCGTTTTATTCGCTTAATTTTGCGGGTGTCTTCGTCACTCTCGTCACACTCCGATTCGTCGCTGTTCTGGAAAAAAAGGGGTTTTTTTAGGGAGAAAGTGCGCTCCATTGGGAGGAGACGCAGACAGCGAGACAGTCTAGTTGTCTGCGTCTCTATGTGGTGTACTAGGGTGTATTGGCTCTCAAGAACTTTGGTTTAAGCCTTTCAATTATCAAAACGACAAAGAAAATGCGCTCTATTGAGAATGCAGACGCAGGCAACCAGACTTTCTAGCTGTCTGCGCTCTATTGAGGAAATGGACGCAGACAGCGAGACTGTCTAGTTGTCTGCGTCTCTTTATGGTCTACTAGGGAAGATCGGTTTCTGAGAGCTTAGAAATTCATCAAAATAGCAAAGAAAATGCGCTCCATTGAGAGTGTAGACGCAGACAGCCAGACTGTCTAGCTTTCTGCGTCTCTCCAACGTTTCTAAAGGAATAGTAACCCTACAGTATCCTCCCAGCTCTCCTCAATTATCTTACCTTTGACGTCCTGCTATCGTCCTTTTTCTGCTTTCGCTCCTTGGCTCGCCGGTTTTTGAACCAGACCTGGAAATCAAATTTTTATTGACTTTTTCAATCAAAAATTCCCTCCCGATTCCTCTAGTCACTTCCTAATTTGACAGATAAATAGGAGGATATTCCTTCGCTCTAAAGGAAGCCGATAAAAGGGGGAAGAGAAGTGTTCGGTGCGATTTATCCGCATCATCGCATTTCCCCTTATTCTTTGACTTCAGATGAAGAGATGATGAGTGAGATGATACCTTATAAACGGGGAAAGGTGTAGTGTAACATGAAGAAACAGAAATTTTGGAAGGAGGAATGTTCAGAGCAGTATATCTCGGTTGCCTTTGAAGCTAGCAAAAAGTGGTCAACTAGTAAAATGTTTGAAATGTTTTGCTTAACATTTCTTTAGTTAAAAATTTTTTGATAGCTCCAAAGACAACTGAGATATACTGCTCTGAAGATACTGTAGTGGCCATACCATGTTGCAAAGAGCATTGTATGTTCAGAGCAGTATATCTCGGTTGGTGTTAAAGCTAGCAAAAAGTGGTCAACTAGTGAAATATTTAGAATGTCTCGTTTAACATTTCTTCAGTTGATCACTTTTTGATAGCTCTGAAGACGACTGAGATATGCTGCAAACAGTAGTGGGTGTGCCTAATTTAGAGGATTGAAGTGGCGCTTGTGTGGCGCAACCGGTAGTGTTTGCGACTTCTAATTGAAATAGCTTGTAGG